ACATAATAAAGCATGCTGCCTTCATCATGGCCTTATTGAATCCACATATACCTTGGGAATGGAGGGGATTCATAAAGAGTGAGTGCAAAGCAGCATACTGAGAGAGAGCAGTTTATATATCCATTTACTCATTCATGTGTCTGGCAAAAATTGTCTCCTAAGAGAGGAGAGTAAAATTGGCCTTAGGTGAAGAACTGCAGAACAGGGAAATGTAAAGACAACAGGCAACATGGAAACCACACACTATATCTGGACCATGGACGATGTAGAACAGCATAACAGGGAAGTCTGGGTAAAGGAGAAGAGGGAGGGGCAGGACACTGGCAGTTGGCTGAGGTCCCAGAGTTGTGGGATAAAGGACTACATAAGAAAAACTTCACCAGCTAAGGGGACAGGCTCCTTAAAGACAAAGTTTATTCTACAGTTGAGTCTGGAACTAGTCCTATTTCACCTTCCTGAAAGTATCTGGTTTCTAAATGGAGAAGAATAAAACAGGAAGTTATATGGATCTGACTCATGTTCCTAATTACAGAACTTTTCCATGGAGGGATCTAGAGAGTAGAAAACGGAGGAAGTTAAACACTGGCATCTTTTGAGCTTTAGACCTTAAGAGGAAAAGAACTCTAGAAATCAAAGAAAAATTTTGATTTTAAAATTCATACCTCTGTAAATTTCAAGGAGATTTACCCTTCTTTAAACAATACCTAAGGCCAATGTGTCACTCTTTTCTTTCCCTTCTACAACCAAGGTCATTGTTTTTGTGAACTCAGTAATAAAATATCTGAGTCAGAGTGGGAGAGTAAAGGTGAGTGAATGGTTAGAAGGTTAAGCTAAGTAAAATAATTTGAACAGTTTTATGAAATAAAACTTTAATGTTTTATAGTTTAAACCATTACTAGCCAGGTTCAATTTTTGCATAAGCCCCTCTGGTCTTAACATGATAGCATAGTGTAAGCCAAGGTTAGAGGAAGAAAAAGTAGACCAAATGTGTCATAATTCTAGCTGTAGTGAAGTAAGAATTTCAAAGTTAGTAAATAAATTGTGCTCCATGTCATGTTTTCCAGAAAGAAAAATGACATTGGATTTCCTTGCAGAAAGTTTACGGAGAAGTGTTCTTTGGTTCAAAACCTGTGGTCACATTGAAGAAGTCACCAGGCTGGTAAAGGAGAAGTTGGGCTGTGATGCAGTCAATAACCAAGGCTCATATTACCCCATGGGAGATTTATGCTGAGGCGATACTACAATAGGGTCCTGAATTAAGGAATAAGAAACTGCCCTTAGTCTCCCATATTGATCAGTTGATTTGACTGCATCCAAGAAAGGGACAAGACTGGGCAATATGACTTATTTCAATAAAGAGAAAGTTTTGGGTTGGAGGAGGGTGGACAGCACACAGCTGAGAATCATCAGTTGCCACCACTCTGAACAGCTGGGGAAAGGTTGCTACTGCTCTTGTGTGTGTGTGTGTGTGTG